GACATCAGGGGGTCACCTAGGGACCCCAAAGAAGCTGAGGATCAGAGATCTGCTTCCAGAGCTTCATCTCCTGACTCTAAGAGCCAGAGACTGTGTACAGTGACACCAGAAGTGATGTAATACACATCACTTCTGGGTCCAGTGATCGGAGGAGAGATCAGTGGTTAGTGGGGGGGGGGGACGGACACACACACAGTCTGGTGGCTGTTCAGACGCCAGATCACTTGTACATTAACAGCCATCGCTGGCTGTTAAAAGCGGTACCAAGAACACGGATGTAGTTACGCTAGACTGTATTGAGATAGCCCCAAATAACAATACACATTCATTCGTGGACCTCAAAAACCGTCCAGTTTGCTGCTGTCCAGTGAATCATGGGGTACCTTTCCAAACTGAACCCAAGACCAGGTAACCTAGGGACACCAAATAAATTCTGCAAATTACAGGTTGTAGTCTCCGGGACTAGAACAATGATTCCTCCCTGCTATAGCTGCCTTCAAGTAAGCTGTGTGGACCAGCTTCCACTTTTAAAATTAAGCTTATAATAAAAAAAAAGATGGATTACAATAAATCAGATTCAATCACCTCATTAAAAGCAGAACTTCACGCAAAAAGCTAAATACACATTTGAAGTTAATACCTGCCAGTAGTTCAGCTTTAACCACATGTGCATATACAGACCTAGGTCCATTTACCCCATGGATCCACACTTCTAAGCCCTACAGTTGTTCTATTTTCCAGTGTCCAATCTTCCTGGAGGGTTTGCCTTTACATACACTTAAAGTGAAAACAAAACCATCAAATATAATAACTAGGGATGCACCGATACGGGTATTTTGGTACCGATAATTTTCAAATACTCGGAATCGGCACCGATATCGATACTAGTATCGGTATCGGTGCATCCCTAATAATAACTATGAAACATTAATGGTGCTCAGATACATTACATGGAGAATGGTACTCAGAAACATCACAAGAACCTCTCCCTATCGGTCTCTTTTTAGGGGCAAGAGTCTATCTAAGCTAGTAGAGACACTACCAGCTGTGGCTTCTTGGAAACATTGAGGTTGGGCAGGTTAGAAAACACTTGCTCTTATTTACTGTATATCTGGCCACAAGGACAGATACCCCAGGGGGGTGTTATCATAACTGCATGTCCAATCTCCCAGTGTATAACATTTATAAACAACTCTTCTAATCTTTTCTTGTTGGTACAAATCCTCTCTAATTTAAATATTACTATATATCCATCATATATATATACACATATACATACACACACACGTGTGTGTGTTTGTGTACATACACAGTGTGCACAATTATTAGGCAAGTTGTATTTTAGAGGATTAATTTAAATATTGAACAATTACAGTGCTCTCGGTCACTCCAAAATGTTAATAAACCTTAAACCTGAATATTTAAGAAAGTAAAAGTGAGGTTTTGGCTTTCTTAGGAGAATATCTATGTGTGCACAATTATTGGGCAACTATTAGTGTTTAGGATTATTATGCAACTAAATGGAAAATGAAAATGTTCCCATCTAACTTGTTTATTATTCTCACGTTAACAGATGAAAATAAACTACTACAAATTTACAAATAAAAAAACTTTTCTGACATTTTCAAACACAAAACCAGCAACCAATATAGCCAATAACAGTCATGAGCCTTCCATCCATGGTGTCCAACCACGGCCTCCAAGACACTGTTCAGAGAGGTGTACTGTTTTCCTTCACCTTAAACCTCCCGTTTAAGAAGGGCCCACGAGTTCTCAATATGGTTTAGGTCAGGTGGGGAAGGGGGCCATGTCATTATTCTTTCATCTTTAATGCCTTTACTGGCTAGACACGCTGTGGAGTACTTCAATACATGCGATGGAGCATTGTCCTGCATAAATATCATGGTCTTCTTGAAAGATGCAGACTTTTTCCTTAATTTTGGATAAACTTTTTCCTGTGCCACTGGTGGAAGAAAGTGTCTTCAAAAAACAGGCAGTAGGTTTGGGAGTTGATTTTGGAGTTCATCTTCAACCAGAAAAGGTCCAACTAGCTCATGTTTAAGAATACCAGCCTACCTCCACCTTGCTGGCGTCTGAGTCGAAGTGGAGCTGCGTGCCTATTACTGATCCAGCCACGGGCCCATCCATCTGGTTCATCAAGAGTCACTCTCATCTCATCAGTCCATAAAATCTTTGAAAAATCTCAGATATCTTCACTTCAGATATTTCTTGGCCTAGTCTTGACATTTCAACGTATGTGTCTTGTTCAGTGGTCGGGTTTCAGCCTCTTACCTTGGCCATGTCTCTGAGCACTGAACACCTTGTACTTTTGGGCACTCCATGTAGGTTGCAGGTCTGGAATATGACAGCACTGGAGGATAATGGTAGCTTCACATTTGATTCTTCTCAAATCTTTGGCAGTTAATTTGTATCTTTCTTTCTCAACACGTTTCTTGCAATCCTGTTGACTATTTGCAACAAAACGTTTGATGGTTCTGTGATCACGCCCCAATATCTTAGCAATTTCAAGAGTGTTGCATCCCTCTGAAAGACTTTTTACAATGTTGTCAGTTAAATCTCTTTTTTTGGCCCATTTTGCCTGAGGAAAAGAAGCTGCCTAAATATTATGCACATCTTGGATATAGGATGTTGGTCTCCTAAGCCTTAAGGTGCCCATACACTGTACTATTATCGCGGGAAATCCCACGATCGTACGATAATCGTACAGTGTATGGAAGGCATGTAACCGTTTCTACTGTACGATCGCGTGTCTTCCGCCGAACAAGCAGGCTGGAAAACCCGCCGAGAATCGTACGATTGTTGGCGGGTTAGTGGCGTGCTTGTTCGACAACTGCCGAACGGGCTGGTGTGCACACGCGCACACTGCCCATTCAGCATTGCAGTCCTCGGAAGCCCTCCCCTCAGCGCGGCGGGCTTGCGATGATCGCAAGTACGATCTGCCTGTCCAAGATGTGCAGATCGTACGTTTTTAAAATTACTTTACAAGTCTTGCGAGGGTTGTACAGTGCATGGCCACCTTTATACAGCTTGGAGTTAGACAATATGAATAAAAATGGTAAGGAATTGTGCAGTCACCTTCGCCACCAATCCAAAATTAACACTGTGAAGACTGGTGTGTAGTAGTTCCAGAAAAAGGGAACCTGTCCCCAGACAATGCACACTTAAATATTTACACATTCCAAACAAGCAGTAAAAGCACTTCCTCATTCACCTCTGTATCTATAAGCATAGTATAGAAGTTACTTTTCAAATTTAACAACTTTTCACAACTTTTTTTTTTCCCCCTATGAGGACATATCTTGGCAGCCTGCCGGACCTTTAAAGCAAGTAAACCAGCAGGCGTTTTTTAAGCTGATAAAAGCGAACTAAAACCTGACTTTAGAGTCTTTGTTGTTATCTTTGGGAATTAATAACCTTACATTAAATTAGAACTGAAGCCAAAACTGTTTATCTTTGGTTTTGGATAGAGTAAGAGAGGGTTATAACCAACCAAACCACCCCCACCTTTTTTGCCATCTCCATCCCATTGGGGAGATTTCCCTTCACTTCCTGTCTAATAGTCACAACAGAAAGTTAGAATAAATCTCTCAAGGGAAATCCCTGGTGGTCAGCAGGATCACCAGAACTAGTGTCCCTATTGGATTTTCCATCTATTCCAGGTCTGGTGACAACCAAAATCTGGGATTTTATTTCGCTTTCAGTGATAATGGTCACTAGGACAAATAGAGGGGGTGAATTTCCTTAATGGGAACACAGACCGCAATAAAAACCTGACAGGTATTCTCATCCCTTTTCACTCTAGCCAAAACAGAAAAACGTTTGGGCATCCATTGCACTTTAAATCACAGCTAGAGTGGCCAAGGGGCCTTGTTTCAAAGCTCTTTAACCACTTGTTGGGAATTTGTAAATAGTTTAAGGTCACCTGGGTACAGGAACTAGGTTACTGAATGCAGCATATATTATATTATCTGCTTGTATGATTGATCTGAAATAGAAAAGATCCTGACAAATGTTTTTTTGTATATTTTTTTTTCTTTGTTTTGGATCATCATAGCACACAAAACTCCATATATTAGCAGCTATAGACAAATCAAGTTGACCTTTAGCAGAACAGTGTCCACCATTAAACTATTTTACACATATTGTACAATTAAAGAAGAAACAAAAAATATATAATTTTGTTTAAAGAGTTATTACACAACGATATTATATCTGTTACATGCAGATAAAACTGCTTTAAAAAATACTATGTACAGCTTAGCAAGGACTTGTTCAGGTTTAAATTACTAAAATGTACCAAATAATCTTTCAAAAAGAGCCATCACATCTAAAATGAGTTTGCAAAAATCAAGATGTCTGTTTTTTTCTTTAAGTGTTAAAAAATCATGATTTTAATTATATCTGCCTTGCAGGCTAAGAGGGCTGGGTATTGGGAAATATTGTATGATGCACTTGCTTGCCCTTCCCATATGCACTGCTTTAATAATAAACTGAGCTGCCGGTGTTTTTTGCTGCATTTCAAAACACAAATGTGTGCAGCACAAATAACTCAGGGAAGGTAAAAGAAGTCAAGGAGGCTTGTGCATTATATAGGAAGTAGATGCGGGGCTTATTTAGACCATCATACAAGAGACTTTAGATTTACTTGAATTGGAAAGTCGCATAAGTATCAATGACAACTCAGCCAAACAAAGGTTGTTTTATCACCAATTAGAACGTGGTAAGAAGGTGGCAGATCAATACAAGCTATAGGTTTTGCATACATTAATAACCTATGAGCTTCCATTTTAGTAGACTGGAAAATTCTGCATCGAGTGTTCAGAATGATAATCGCTACATTTTAAGTTAGGTTAACAGGAAAGATGTGCGTTTTACTTACAAATAAACATTCCATGTTAAGAAATGTTTCCTAAAATAAATATAGAAAAATAGATATCCCACAAAACATTATTAAAACAGAAAAAAATATCCCACAAAACATTATTAAAACAGAAAAAAAATGACTTCAATTAGAAAGAGAACAATACTGATCAGTTACATTGTTTAGTGGATTTAATTTAAATTGTAGTATGTTCTACAGCATTAGCATGTACCCAATGTACCCATTGAATGCCCGACCAGTGCTGACAGAAATCTCAGTAAAACAAAGCAGCTTTAAAAAGAATGAATAAACTATAGGTTGAACAAATGATTGTACATTCAGTTATAAATTCCGCAAATCACACTTTAAGCCATAAAGATTTTTTGCCGTCTTTGTATGATAATACAACAAATGGGACATTTATCAAGAACCTCGGCGCAGTCTGAGCACACGACGAGGTGGCCACAGGGAATGAACACCACAGACACAGCCTTGTCCATACACACTTTGCAGATTTTTTCCTCCTCTAGCTTCCTGAGCTTTTCTTCAATGCTGTGATCTGTAAAGTGGAAAACAAATACGAATATTACGGACCGTGAACAGGGTCAATTGAATGTCAGACTAAAAAGCTTATAGGAAGGCAAACTATTTACATAACATTTCCTGATATTACTATAGCAATAGAAGCATTGTTTGCTAGCACTGCAGCACTACAATTGTAGTTGGATCACATTACCTACGTAGCCTCACCAACTAGACAGTACCAAACTATCAAGGTTTCATAACCTATCTGACAAGGATTTTGTCCCTTCCGGTTGACATTATATCTATGTGAAAAAACACAAAAAATACCTGTTGATAATGTCATATATTCAGAACTGTCCTCTGTCCTGTGCACATTTACATTGCTAACTTAAAGTGATGTTAGACCCTCGGGTATTTTTGCATGCATCTAGGGCTAGCAAGCAGTAGATATATGCAAAAACAAAAGAAAAAGCCCCCAAAAAGGCATTCCTGTGTCTCCGCTGCTCGTTCCCGTCTGAAGATCTGAAAAGTTCTCGTGTGGCAGGAAGGATCATGGGGTGGGCGCATGCGTACTAAAGATCTTCGGCCGGGAGAAGAGGAGAGACACAAGGTAAGTCAATGCAAGCAGCCAGGCAGCGTGCACACGCTCAGACTTCATGGGACAGGAAGACGCAGCAGTCAGCGCTGGATCAGAGAATGGCACTAGCACTGGAGGGACTCCTGAAAACTACTGGAAAGAAGATGATGGGATCAAGAGGCATCATTTAAGGGAAGTCCTTAAAGCAGCATGGGGGGGAGGGGAGTCTATTTAGCCCACTCCGTTCTCTTGGACCACAAGACAATTCGCTCCTAAGCTCTGGAGACAAGGAGAGTGGGAGGGATTCAGAATCTTAGCAAAAGACAACTGGGCAGTGCTGGCACCATTTATTTCATTTGCAGCCTAGAAAATACTCTGAGCTGTCAGCCCACACAGGAATTTAGGAGCAGTGGGCATTTCTGGCAGGTCAACGGGTATTGTGCACTTGCACAGTCAGATAAAACCTGGTGTCAAGATCCAGAGCACCCCCAGGTGGCGCTGGAGCCGGGTCCTGCAGTTCCTGTGCTCGCCTGCGGGTGTCTCCAGCAGCCAGGAACTGTAAGGAACCTGCAGCTCCGGTACTCACCTGCGGGTGTGCCCCAGCTGTGACTGATCATCCCATCACCTGGTGCTTCCTGGGAGGGTATTTAGGCCCTCCCTGCAGTCTGGAAGCTGGGTCAGTATTGTGTTGCTAAACCTGTCTGATTCCCATGTCCTAAACCTAGCTTCCTATCTGAAAACCTGTCACCCGACCACCCTCTGTTGAATCCTGTTCCTGTACCGCGCTGCCCTCCTGTTAACGACTCGGCTTGTACCTGACCACTCTTCTTGTATCCCGAGGCCTGCTGTACATCTGCAAGCCTGTTACCCCTCTTTGTTGGGTTTGTAGTTTTGTTTATGTGGAACCATTAAACTGTGCATATAACCCTATTCTGTGTGGGCATATTAATTTGGTCATCCTGCGTGGGTACCTGCATGTGATGTGAGAACGCCTATGCAGGGTACCCTGACACCTGGGGAAATCTGCATTACAGAAGTGTACCACATGTTTTTGTTTTTTTATTTGCCTTTACATACACTAATGTATAGACATTTCAATTAGGTTTTAGATATACACATACATTAAAGAGCAGCTTGTTGTAAATCATCCTAGCAATATCTGTTAATATTTTAAAGAGCGTCTTTCTATGTACAGCCTGTAAATATAGAAGTTTAAGGGGGCAGCCATATTGGTTTAATAGATACCCAAGCTCTGCTTCTGCTTTGCAGGGCCGCATAAGGGCCTGTTCACACTAACCCATCTGCTGAAATGCTCCTTTTTAGCAGACAAGCTAGTACATGACAGTGTGCGGGGTATGGATAGACACTAAAGTAAGAATGCCAGCTATGTGCTCACTAAAAATACACTGTAGTTTCCCATTCAGTTTAAAAGATAAGTGCATGAACTAAATACAAATATCATCAGTTTCTGAAATCCTCCTGAAACGTTTGTGCATATAAGTAATTGAAAGTTTTTTGCTTTTGTCATTTTTTGTACAGTAACCCAGTTTAGTAGGAGTGCATTATAGTAATTACAAAGGAAAGATCCCAAGCAGTACCCGGAAAACCAATTTCATTAAAATCCCCTCACCCTTACCAATGTCTCTGGGCGTCACATTCCCATTTTCAGACTGAGAATTTAATAAATCAGACACCAAAACCTCCATTAATGTGTAATTTGTTCCTGTGCTTTTTATTTTCTTTAGCATGAGTTTCTTAATATCTTCAAGCTGAAATCCCATTTGCTGAGCATTAATCACCAAAGGGTTCTTCATTAATTCGCTATCTAGGGAGAGATGTATTTGTATTAATTGCCAAACCCACAGATGAGAGAAAGCCATGCAGCACTAACAGCCACAGAGAACTGATTCTCTATCAATCCAGCTCAGAAATTTTTTTCCACAGTATGGATTTTGGCGAGCGTTAGTAAAATTAAATTCCAGGTAGAAAATGAGCAAAATAAACCCACTATGTTGAATTATGAATTATGCATGTCTTTTCAAATTAAAAGTATTCTTGTGAGCAACATATATCTACCGGAATCTGTCTTTACAACAGCCTCTATCATTTAGGGCCTGTTCACACCAGCTCCGATGCGTTCTAGCACGATTTGCTGCTGGAACACAGTGGAGCACATCCAGTCCATCTTCCTGCGTTCAGAACAAATGGAGAGTTTAGCGTGCGATTACAGTGTGTTCCAGCAGCGAATTGCGCTGGAACGCAGTGGAGCTGCTGTGAACCAGCCCTTCGGGCCAGTTCACACCAGTTGCGGTGTGCTCCAGAGGGGTAGCTGCTGGAACGCACTGTAATCGCACGCTAAACTCCCCCTTTGTTCTGGGGTGGGAGGAGTGGTGGTGAACTGAAGTCAATGGCACCGCAGCCACGCCCCCCCCCCCCCCCCCCCCCCCGCCCCCCCCCCCCCCCACCCCCC